TTTCTTTTTTCCCCGTTTACTCTCACCCTCTCATTTTATACCCTTCCTGCCAACAGACAGCTTTCCCTTTCTCAAGATTTTCTTCCTAGGCCTATCACCCCTTCTTCTACTAAACCATTTCATCAACCCCATGGTATATCAAACCTTCTCTTTGGACAAGTTAGTGGACTTAACTCATGAAAAAGAATACTTGATAACACCACTACTACCCAAACTCAAGAAAAAACTATAGGACTTTCTCTTGTTTTTAATCATCTCCCAAACTCCACCAAAAACCATGGTCAGCTTACCCTTTCCAAAAGATCAGCACAGGCTGATCATGCCTTATTAGAATCAAGGCCTCTAGTAAGGAAAGATCTATGGCCTATACCTCAATCCATTCACCCTCCTAGCTCAGGATATCCCAATATGGTGCTCCACTTAAATGAAAATCTGTCAAATGGGACTGATCTGATACCACAGGTGGTAACAAAGAAAACAACGTGCCCCCTTCCGAGGTCTGAGCGAATAATATTTGGGAGTATTGAAAGGTAAAACTAAATCTCGTCGGGTACATACTATACAGCTAGTTTAGTGAATATAACAAAAAATTTATAAAAGCTTAATACTAAATTAGCCTGTTTCACTGTCGATGACTATGTATTAACCGTTCGGTCCCTAGCTGAATCTGCCCCACTCACAGAGTGGTTAGTGGGTTCACCTAGAGAAAACCACAATAGGTTATCATTAATCTACATGTATATAGGAAATATATAGTTTGTATGAGATAATTGATATGATGTCCAGGATTTCATTATCTAAGATATTAAGTTAACTCTTAATAAAAGCGCTTGCATCTAATACTAGTTGTGATTTTTTTAAAAAAAAAAAAAAAAAAAGAGAAAAAGTTTTATAATGTATTTTTTTTTAAAAGTCTTTAAGTCTTTAAAAAAATATTTAAAAAATAAGAGATAAATAATATAAATTGCCAAATTTTATCTTTTTTTTAAGTTTTTCAGATAATAAAAAAACTTTTTTAATTAGAAGTTAAGGTCTTTATTTTTTATTTATTTATTTATTTATTTTTTTTTGATGATAGGCTTATGCTTAACTTTATTGATTTTCAAATTACAAAAGTACATAATGCAAAATACAAATATAAAAATATATATTTGGGATCAATAAAGATAATGATATGATAAAGTTATTTCTAAAAACTACTTTAAGGCTTATTGTCCTTTCTTTTACCAAAGAAAAATCAATATCTCTAGAATATGCTGATATTATAAAATAAAAATAACAAAAAATAAAATCAAAAATTAGACAGTTATGTGCAGTGTATCAGTCCTGATTTTTGACATATGCCAGTCTTGTTTCAATTTTTTTTATAGAGAGATCTGAAGGAAAAACTTCTACTGAATCTTTATGGAGATAAGATGAGACTAATAAGGAAGACTTTATAGTTTTAAGGCTTGTGAGGAGAAAATAATCAGGAAGGTCCAGGTAGTATATTGGTATCTGCATAAGTAACTTAAAAATCTTTTAGTATATCGTCAATTAAACTCATTTCTATTTAAATATAGATATATTTATCTATCTGTATATCTTATTTCAGATTTAATTCTTTATAAGAAGGATAGTATCTAGCCTTGCGATCAACATATCTTGCTAATGACTATTGATATTACAATTAATAAGAATCTTCCAAACATTCCAGCCAGCTTGCATGTTACTGTTGATATTTTCAAACTTGAGTTTTGATTGGTAAAGTGATATTAGCCTTTTAGTCTTCCAACTTGGGATTTTTTGAAAATAGGATGAAAACTTACTAGATTGTTTTGCACATAAGTTTTTACTACTAAGTATTTTTGATAGTTCCATGTTTTCTTTGATTTAGACTTTCTGAGTAATAGAGATTGAAATTTACCTAACATATAATCAAGATATAGATGGTTTTTACTTGTAAAAGATTAATCGTGCATCTTGTGATCTTTACCATAGTTAAACAGACCCTTTTTTGTATTTAATAATATATCAATAATGTGTCCTATATCTACTTGCACCATTACATATAACTTATGGTGAATTCCAGGTTTATATGAATTTGAGGAAATATATTTAGACATATGAGGTGACCAATAGAAGCTTGTTTATCAATATTGTCCAATATATTTCATGTTAATCAATTAGAATCAATAAGATTTGTACTATTCAAAAATTTATGGTCAAGCTAATATATACAAAATTCCTCAGAAAGCCATGAAAAAGGTAGCTTTAAGAGATTACAATACCAGTTAAGGGTAGGAAGGTAAGTTCTTTAACTAGAATATAATCTTTGTTTTCTCTACTATAGTTGAGAAATGAACAGTACTTCACTATTGGTTCTTTTATCTTTAGAAATTTTTTTGCCATTGGTAGTAAAAATAGGAACTGAACTTTGCAGGTCACAAAAGTCCAGTTTGTCCAAAAGAGATTGTAAATAAGATATAGGAAAAATAAAAAAGTTCTGAAAGAACTTTTTGAGTTGATTTAATGAAAGTAGTAAGATTCTTTTGGCAAAAAAGTATCAAAACTTCTTGCGAACATCTTTTTTGTGTGTGATCAGAGGATCAGTGAAAAGAGTTTTTTTTTAATTGAGTTAAGATTTTTATATTTATCTTTTTTAAGTTATTTCAATATAATACTTACTTAAATAATGAAGTTGGTTAAATTAACTTATTTAATATTATAAATAGTAATAAAAAATCTTTTTAAGATTAAATAAAAATAAAATTAATATCAAATTCTTTTAAAAGCAAGTTGTTTAATTGATAAACTTTTTTTAAAAAACTTGAATTATATTTCTATTTCTTTCATTTTATTATTATTTTTTTATTAACATAACAGTTTATAATTTTTAAACAAACTATAATAACAAACTATTAATAATAAACTTAGTAAATAAAAATTTATATTAATTTTTTAAAGAAATAAAATATTATTTCTAAGATCTAACTTAGAATACTTTTTTTTTTAATCCACAATCATATTATGATGACTTGTCTTTATTGAGAAATTAAAATAAAATTTACAATAATTTATAGACTTTCATAAAGTGATTAACTCATCTTTATATATAAATACTCTAAATTAGATTTTGAAAATATTATTATATTTTTCTAATAGATTAATAATAATCTTTATCTATCAAGATTATTGTCAACAGTTTGTTACTATTGATTGATCCAAAAATCAATGAATTACTAAGTTAAAAAAGGAAAGAGAAATATAATTGAGGGAAAAGAACAATTCAAGATCTACTAAAAAATCCAAAAATAAAAATAACCTTTTTTTAAAAGGGATCTACCTAATTGAAATAGTTTTTTTATTTTACTTGAATCTTGAAAAAAATCTTTTTTTTTACTATCTATGGCTAAAGATAGATTTCTAAAGAAAGAGATAAAAACAAAAGTCTAATGTTTCTCACTAGAAAATATTAAAATTTTTAAATTAATAACTATAAAATAACTATTTATAATTGTTTTTCATTATTTAAATCATTAATTTATAGCATTTCCTGATTTTTGTTCCTCAAAAAGGGATATAAATGATCTATAAAATTTTATATACTAAATACTTTAAGGATCCATTATTACTTATAATATCAGACAAGTCAATTTAACTAATCTTTTATTAAATAGATATTGAATTGAAATATCTTAAGAAAAGTCTTTAGACTTTAACTTTTTTTCATTAAAACTTTATCACTACTTGAGAAACTTAAGTAAGTGATAGGAGTTTATAATCCATATTACCTATCACTCAATCTTTTGATATTATAGAAGTCTTTATTAAGGAACTTGAGTTTTTGGAAATAAATGTTTCTGAAACATTCTTTTCAATTATAAAAAACATTATTAAAACATATGAGTGTAATCAATAGAAGCTTGTTTATATTTTAAAAACTAATATGTTTCATATTAGTCAATTACCTTTGATAAGAATTTAAATTATTCAAAATTTAGAATCAAATTGAGATAGGTAAAATTCTTTAAAATATCATGAAAATGGAAGTTTTAAAAGGATCAAAACAGTCAAAAAAAGAGAAAATAATCTTTTTTACTACAAAAAATCCCTATAAATCTTTCACTTCAAAGATTAAATAGGTTTATAAATATTTTATAGTCAGTTCTTCTTTTTTTGAAAACTTTTTTACCATTGATTTCAAAGGTGTTATTTGATTTTTCTTGATCAATAAAAGTCAAGTTTTTGAGTGTAAAGATTTATAAATAAAAAAAAAAGATAGATGTGACTCTTGAAACTATACTTTAAATTATTTTAAGGAAAGTATTAAGACTTTATTAATAAAAAAATATAAAAACTTTTTGTAAATATCTTTTTTATATGTGGTCAGAGAATTAGTAAAAAGAGTTTTATCCTAGAATCTAACTATTTTCCCTAACTTAGAGTATTTCAATATAATAATAAATTAATTATTATATGAAAAATTTATAATATTATAGATAATTATATAAATAAATATTAAACTATATAGTATAGTTAAATTAAAATAATAATAATAAATTTATTGAAATTATTTTAATAAATAAATTTATTAAATAAAAATAAATACAGTAATTTAATAAAATAATTTTTTTATAATTTTTTTATTAATTATTATAATAAAATAAAATTAATTTTATATAATAAAAAAATAAAGAAATTTTTTAGTATTTTTTGATTTTATATATATATTGTATAAAATTTGTTAATAAAATAGTACCTATCTTTTTTTTTATTTTAAATCAAAAACTTTGCACCAGACTGTATATACAAATAAGTATATTCACTTTATATTTCTATCACATGATTGATATCATTAGATATAAATGATCCGACCAATTATTTGTTTCCTGATTATTATCAACCTTGTTGGAAACAAAGTCGGGTATGCATTGAAACTTAAAGTTCGTTCTTCGATTATGATGAAAAAGGATAATTAAAATGATTTGGATGATTCGAATATAAAAAACCAATTGTTCCTACTGAATTACTTGAGAACTTTACATGTTTGCGTATAATAATTGCACCGAAGTTATCTGATAAATTTCCTTCACGGTCTTATAAATAGGTAAGGAAGATCGAAAGAAACATTGAAGTGCCGCTTTCAAAGGGAGAAACACATTTGCGTCTCAGGTGATTTGTTGGCTGATGGGTTTTTAGTGTAAACTTAATTTGTTTGGAAATACCATCTCCTTTTCTCAAAGATAGTCAGTCGTCTTTGACCATACTTTTAAATGCTAAAGTGATATCGAGATAATAGATGACAACGGTTATATATAATTAAATAGTGTGCATTAAAGTCAAGATTGTTATAATTATTGTTCTCCTTTGTTCGTTTGCAAGTTTCGTAATAGAATTTTACACCTGGAACTGTCAGTTTAAAAGAATTTATTTGACATCACTTTTTTTTTTTTTGAAATATGCATAAAATATGGTTGTTATATTTAGTGAAAATAAGTTATTAAATTATTTTCAGGGGAGGATAATTTCGTAAATAAGATAATGTCCAAATTACAAAATCGTTCATCATGAATGAGTAAAAGACTACACGACGTCGAAATGTCATGATTGGTGCCATATGTTGACGGTACTTTGTCGCGCAGATCTACGATGCTTTATCTGCGGAATCCTGGGAGACTTTATTGCTTGCGGATTCTTGGGCGATTTTATTGTTTGCGAGCTCTTGACCAATTTTATAATTCAAGATCTAAATAATAAATATATCAAATTAAATTAAATTAAAAAAAGAAAAGGAGTTAACAAAAGAAACATGAAGTCAACGACAAAGTTTCAATATGTACCTTATCCCAATCAAGCTTGTGACGCGTAAGTGGAAGGGCACGCCTCAATCCTTTGAATGTATTCTCCGAAAGCTCAACATACGCCTCATTTAACGCACTTTGAAATTCGTGCTCAGCCTTATTAATTGACTTGGCATACGCTGCAGCTCGTTCGTTTGGATCCTTAAAGTATCAATCAACATTCAATAATAGAAAATAATCATAAATCAAAAATAAAATAAAGATCACCTCGGATTCTAGCAAAGACGTAATCTCAATCTCCTTGGAAGAATCCAATTGCACATTTCCATCTTCATAATAATGGACGTTCACTTTTATATTTCCCTTTAACTCACCCGATCCAGGTGAAATTACCCAGGTCGAACGCCACCTACCATTCCTACATTTCAAATATATATTAAAATGGTGGAAGGTATCTTAAAGTGGTTTTTTCCGATCACCAATGAAGTTGTTGCTCACCAAAAGTTATCCGGGTTAAACTTGTTATCTACAATAGCGACGGTAAAAGTATCATCGGTGGAATATACTGTTGAAACACCATTAGGATAATGATCTTTAATGTAATCTGAAATTGCAGCTTCAATCGCAGATCTACAGATTCAACTTAAAGTTAAAAATTAGGTTCAAAAAAAAAAAAATTAAAAATAAATGAATGAATGAATAGACTAATTATGTTCATCCACCTTAAAGGTTCCGTCTTTTCATCCACAGTATATGGTTGGACATCAGTTACGGTCTATCAACGTAAAGAATTAGAATATCGTAATAGACTAAGCCTAACAAAAAATAATAAAAGTGAGGACATACGTGACGGCTATGGTTAAACCTAAAGGTTTGTTGTGACCTCGGATCCAAATATATGTCATCTTCGATCTGTCCAAATTTTGACACTATAACCTGAAGAAAAATCAAAGCGCATGTTTAACATCAATTCGGCTCAATTATATTTAATAAGAAGTACCTTCTCTTCTTGTCCGGGGAGGGTTGCAGTTACATATTGTTCAATATTATATTGCTGTAAAGATGGCCCGATTCCTCTTTCAAACTCTTCTTGATTTTCGTCTCCAATTAAAACTTTAACATCTATAAACATGTATTATCTATTAATCAACAAGAATGCAAAATAACTCCTTGTTTGTATGCTGCAACGATCTCAACTGTGCAAAATAGTCAAAACCAACCCCTGTAAACATCATTGACTTCTCCCGGAGGACTTTCAAGTAAAAAACCAGAGACAATTTTTAGTTTCTCTTCGACAGGCAACTCCTCCATATTTAACCGATGGCGGAAAAATACTTAATTGATATTTATAGGAATTTTTTTTTATATCACTGCATTGTGTATGCTGTGTCACATAGATCATAAACAATTGTACGTATGTATGTACATCTGCAACTGAATCTTTCAACTCCTCCAACTATTCGCACTTCATAATTTGTGAGTATCTTACCAATACTATATGCATTTTTTAGACCAGGATATTTGTCACCAGAACCTTCATCCTGTACTATCTCTTTTGAACCTAGAACGTTCGACATAATGGCTGGTGGGGCTTATTACGTGATTGCAGGTCGAAAAGTGGCAACCGAATATGTAATTATAAAAAATTTTTATACTGATTAGTAGAAATAGCGAAGAGGAAGAACCATTTTGCCTTGGGACGAGAACGACTGATTATTTAACGTGTCTGTTTAACTTCAATATTGTGGAGTGACATTAACTTTTCGGTTTTCCACCAATCGTTTATAACTATAGCTTGCACTTGCAACTTTGTCAGCGATTGGTCTTGGGGTTTACGCTGCAAGAAGGAGGCAAGCCAAAAAATTCAATCCTCTAGCTCCCCCACCCATCGACTCTTCCTCGCCTGATGAGGAAGCTTTCATTCAAAACTTCTTAAAGGCGGCGGAAGAAGAGGAGAAAAAACATCATCATTGATGAATCGTCTACTTGTAGCGATAATGTAACATCATTGAGAAAAATAAATTACAAGATATTATACAAAAGATTTATATCATATCGTTTGAACTAAATTCTTGGGAAGTTTTGTGTTTGATAATGTGCATCACCTTGATTCGAGAAAACGAGAAAAAGCGACATTGGGCAGTTAAATTCATGATCTCACATCGCAAAACTTGAAAATGATTATTTTCTTAAGATCAAATCCGCATATCGATATCGCTCCTCATTTCATAATCGAATCTTAGAACAGATAATGGAAAAATACAAACGTAAAACATAATTATAATGTATAAGATTTTTATTAAATATTTATTAAAACCAAGAACATCAAATATCCTAAACGTATTTCCTGGGAACCAGGCGAAGTTGGAATCCTCAATCGGTAGACCGGCAAAATATTCGGACTTGGCCGGAATTTCCAGGCCGATTGACCCATACAAAAAAAGCAATAAGCAATTCAAAGCTTCCATACTGTAAGTCGAAACCGAGACATACCGGAGGAGGTCCATTGTATGCAGATTTGTTAATAAGAAACCATATAAGCCACACCACGTGAATACACTGTCGCCACAAAATGACATGCGTCTGTTTAATGGACGCCTATCCTTTTTTGATGCTGAATGTTTTTTTTTATATAAATATTGTCAATTCATAATTTTATCTGTTTAACAAAAAACCTTGTTTTACCGGCTATATCTCCTTTCGAATCAGGTCAACAGTTTCTGGTTCCTTTATTTGTGCAAATATATTTATTCTCTTTCAGAAAGTTATATTGCATAAAGACTGATAAATCTTCGAACCCTTATAACAATCGGAAATATAATCCAGAATGTCAAGTGATATAGGCGAGTTATGGAAGAATTGAATTTGAACTAGATGATGTTTTACACACTTTGAAATAAACGGTGTACTTTTCTAATAGATAATGACGATTCTGAAGGTTACTCGACACCTTCACATGAAGAAGAGTCCTTATCTTCGAGAGCATCAATAAATGAACATAGTTATCGACAAACAGGACAACATGATCTTAATCTTTCACCAGATGGACAATTCGTCACTCCACCAGATCAGTATGAAGAAATTCCTTTTAATAGGTTCAGCGAAGAGGATAATCCTTATTTCTTGGATGATGAGCTAACAAGCAATAGACGGATCACAGAATTACAAAAAACGTTGGATAAAATGCAGGCATCAATCCCTCGTCGTATTAATGAAATTGAAAAAGCACTCGAACGATTGCAAGCCGAAATTTCGGCTTCACATGAAAGAATAGAAGGTTTAAGGAGAGAATTAATAGAGCGTGAAAAGAGAAGACGAAAAAGAAGTTGGAGTTGGCTGTTTTGGGTTGGTGGAGAAATTCCCTATTTTTCTCATTCACATTATCTTTACCCTATTGACCGAAATTCTTTTCCTTTCTCTTGATATAGTTTATCTTCAAACATGCAATTATAAATTGTTTTTTTGTATTGATCATATTTCTAACTGTATCAATCAAAAGGGGAAAACTAGTTCGGCAATTAGCAAAAAGAGCAGTCACCGATTTTAAAAGTGCGTAAGATCGCGTTTATATCTTTACTACTATATTAGCACATTATTGCGCCAAATATTGGAGAAGTTGATGCTTATCGACTTATGAAAACGTAAATATTTCGGGATAAAGGAGAAACACGAATTAAGAAAAAGTATGGTTTCCATTCAATATATCGAAGGAACAATAAACCATATTGGATCCGGATTGTGATTTGAATTTTTTTTTATTCATTTGGTAAAAATTAATGACAGGGGGATATTCTCATGTGAAATATACTTAAATAGTACGTGATTTTTCTTGGAATAATCTATAATTTTAGCCTACATACATTAGTTTTATTCAAATTGTAATAGTCGGTATAATTCCAATTGGCAAAATTTTATCTTTCATACACTGTTTATTTGGATGGTGTCGATTGGCAAAAATTTGCTAATTACTATATTTGTATATATTTGACATGTCAATTTGATAACTGTTTGTTGAAAAAAAATATACAGTATACCATACGTATAATAAACATAATTTATTATTTTATTATTATCCATAATTAAACAAGTTTTTGAGTTTTATAAAAAAAGTTTTTAATTTTATTTTATAGTATTTTTTATTATTGATTTTTTTTGTAAATTTTAAAGTTATTATATAATTAAAATAATATTATAATTAAATAGTTTTAATTATACTAATTGAAACTGTGTTATTTGATAATCAAATTATTGCTGAATTTGATTAAATTTATTAATATTTTGATAAAAAATTGGTAAAATCAAATTTAATAATAAATTGATCTATATGCTATTACAAAAAATTTGTATAATATATTATAATAAAAAATTTTATTTGTTTATTTTTTTTAATTTACAATCATATTATTATAATATATCTCTATTAAATATTAAATAAAAATTTACAATATTACATAAATTTTTATATAATAATTAACTTGTTTTTATAGTTAAAGAACTAAATTACTTAAAAAATATAAAAGTTTACTGAACTAGTTTGAACTAAACAAAATAAAATCTTAACTAAATATTTTAAGTTAAATTTAAAAAACAATATTTTACTTATTTTATAGATTAATATTTCTTTTGATTTGTTAGAATTATTATTAGCGATTTGTTATTATAAATATTTTAAAAAATAATAAATTGTTAAATTATTGTATTGAGTAAAAAAAAAAAAAAATAGTTCAAAATTTTTTTAAAAGATTTTTATTTAAATAAACAATTTTTTCTTAAAAGAAATTTATTCAATAAGAATATTTTTTAAAGATTATCTAAAGAACTTATTTATTAATTATTAAAATTATATACTATTTAAAAAACTTATTACTTTAAATTATTAAAGTAAAAATTTTATTTTATATCTTTCACCTATAAAACTTAAACTTATAGTTTAATTGTAATAATAATATAAATAATATTTTAACTTTATCAAATCAGAATAAAAATTTAAAAATTTTGACTTTTTTTTTAAAAAAAAATCTTTTTATTATCTAAAAAATTTGACAAAGATAAAAGTATTATACTATATTATTTTTTTTTAAACACATGATCAAATTAGTATAGTATATTTATTAATCATTATAAAAATTAATAGAAATATATAAAAAATATAAAACTCTTTCTGCTGATCCTCTGACCACACATAAAAAAAATGTTTGCAAGAAGTTTTATACTTCTTTGCTAATAAAGACTTTATACTTTCATTAAAACAACTTAAAGCTTATCTTCATATATCTTCTTTACCTTCCCTTACTTGTTTATAAACTCCTTTGAATAAAAACTTAAGCCTTTAGTGGCCTGAAAAGACTCAAGTACGCACTTCCTTTACTAAGGACAAGAAGGTTCTAGGAAATAAAAGGACTGACAAGTGGAGTGTCACCTTACAGAGCTAGAAGTGACAAGAAATAGAGGTTTTGTT